AAGAACAGCTTATAGCACAAATAAGAATGTTTAGACAAGAATTTTTGAAGTTCTTGGGGAAAAAAATACCTTTCCTGTATCAGCTCAGAACACCATCTTCTGTCTCGCCAGCATACCACTCAATATCTTAGCAACTCCCCGTAAGACCAGAATGAAACTGCAAGAAACAACCACCCATATTCACCTACTGGTCCCTGGAACAGAGAACATAGCAGAGGTAAAAAGAATCAACCTGGAATTGAAGGAAGGAAGGAAGAAAGGAAGGAAGGAAGGAAGGAAGGAAGGGAGGGAGGGAGGGAGGGAGGGAGGGAGGAAGAAAGGAGATAATCACCTTTTATGCACTCATTGACCACGTTTATTAATAGAGCTACTACTATGAGCCAGGCACCTCCCTAGAAACTGAAGGTGTCTACACCTTCTACAGCAGATATCTGTTGAGCATCTACTCTGTGCGGCCCACTGTCCTAAGCACTAGGGATTTGTGAGGTGACAAAACAAACTAAGATTTCTCCCTCTGAGAGCTTATATTCTGGATCACACAGGTTTAGTAAATCTTGGCAAACATCTTTACCATCAACAGGAAACTCAAGAAGGATTTAAAAAGAGGTCTTTCTTTTTTTTTTTTTCCTCCTTTCTCACCTCTCTTGAAAAGACTGATGGAGAAACAGGTGCTGGAAGGTTAGTTTAAAAGCTCCCGTTCTCTAGGTGAGAGATGATGGTACTTCACACTACAGGGAGAGAAATGGAAACAGAGCTGGGTGGAATATTTGAAAGTCATTTAAGAGAAAAATAAACTGAACTTGGTGACAGACTGAAGTGGGAGGTAAGGAGAGAGAAGTGTCAAAGAAGAGTCCTGGGCTCCAGCGTGCACGACTGGGCAGACAGGTGCTGAACTCAGGAAATGTGGGAGGAAGGTAGTCTGGGGAAGATAATGAATTTCTTTACAGGGGTGTTGAGCTAATCTGAATTCAGAATTAGAAGACAGCTCCAGACTAAAGATAAAACATTAGAAAACAAGCACACTGAAAGTAACTGAATCCATGGGCATGAATGACATCAACTACAAAGAGAGTATAAAGCAAAAAGGAAAAAAAAAAAAAGCCAGACCACAACTTTTAAAACTCCATCATGAAGGGCTAAGACAAAAGAATGACTCAGTTAAGAAGAATCAGAGCGTCCGGAGAGACAGGAAGGAAACAAGGCACGATGGGACTCAACAAACCAGTGGAGGAGTATTTTAAGGAGGAGGGTATGAAAAGCAGAGCCAAATGCAGCTGAGAGATCAAGTGGAGTGAGCACTGGAGGAAGCCCCCTGGATTTAATGATAGAGGTCATTCAAGAGCCATTTCTTGTGATGTTGGGAACAGGGTCAGGAGTGAGTGAGTGTCTGCAAAGAAAAAACAGAACCGGGACAGTAAGAAGGAAAAGGCAGGTGGGGGTGCAAGACTTAAGTCAGGAGGGTCTTCTTTCATCCCCTTACCTAAAACAGCAACACCCCTCTCTCCTCATTGTCCTTCTTTATTTATTATAAAGACATACATAAATGTCACCAGATATAAAAATAGTCTACTCATGTGAAACTTCTTAGTCAAACTTTCTTTTATGGACACTGGAATAACTTTCTGTTGTGGCCATTACGCTGAGACTATTCTAAGATCTGTAAGTCTGACAATATAACTTTCCACCTCTAGGAAGGCTCCAAGAGGATCTGGGAAATCTGACCCAGAATCTGGTGTATCTTGATGAGGTTGACTAAGGGCACCTACAGTAAAGGATAGGATCATGAAAGGCTTACACAATAATGTCTACTAGATAGGAAGGAAGAATGATATTACCAATTCTCTAAAGAACTACTTCAGTTCTATCTAAGTACAATAAATTGCTCTATAAACATGTAATTTACTAGCAATCACTTTTAAAAACTTTTAGAAAGTTTCCTAAGTAATCTTTTACATGATAGATACCTTCAAATTTTAGTCAGAAGCCCTAAGGATACTTTGAGAGTATAGTTATCAATCTATAACAGCACATTACTATTCATTACCAAACAGAATCTGTTGTTCTGAATGGATCTTACTATATCTACTGGGTCAGTTGATAAAAAAAATTCCTTGAAAATGTCAACTGATGGCAAGAGCCATTTAAAAGGGAACTGAGTTCATCACCACAATAAATATAAAAACACAGACAAATTTTTCCTCCCCCACTGGTCTAAGAAATCCGAATCTGCTAAAGATGCAGATCACAGGGCTTCTTCTATAAAGCACTCTGATCTTGCCCTAGTTTTCTCAAGTGGTGAAAGGACAGGAGTATTCTTCCAAGGCAAATGTTATGGGCTCAGGCATGCCTTGGCAATGGGCTAGGGACAGCAACGTCTAGGTGTGGAGGAACAATAGCAAAGAAAGAAAACTAGACTGGAAAAGAGCAAAAAACTGTAGAAGAGAATCAAAACCCCAAATCATCAACCTCTCAATCAGGGGCAAGACTTGATAACTGAAACTGTTTTTTATCTGCCTTCAGCTGGTATTTGCCCAATGAAGATTTGCTTTCTTTGCTTCCTACTATAAGTATTTAAACAACTCTTGCACTTAAAGTTTAAGCCAAGAATTGTATATTAGTTGTCTCTCTTATAAGGACAATTTACATTGGCTTTTATATGTCTCATCTTGATGGTTATTTTATAAATTTTGCATTTGTGTGTTTGCATTTCTTTTTAAAATTAAAACCACAAATTTTTTATTTATTATTATTTTTTTATTTTTATATTTTAGTGTTCATTAATTTGCAAAGACAGTACTAGTGTTGGGAAGTCCCTAAAACAAGCAATCAGATAACGGATTAGAAGTGAGTCACTCTCACCATGGGACTTTAAACAGAGTCAGCTCGATAGCATTCTGTGATAATAAAAATATTACCTCCCTGTCATGTAGTATTTTTATAATTTAGCAAGCAATCTTAAAACTGCCTCCGTCTTATGGATGAGGCAACTAAGACTAAGAGAAGTTAAGTGGCAAGAGAGCTGACCCGCTGACACCACGCTCGCACCAGAGAGCAGGGTTCCTAGCTACTGCCAGAGAACCAGTGAGCACCTTGATCAGAAAATCTGTGAAGGCTTAGTGATGGAAGACAAAGTGTGTATGCACCAACATCTCTCTCGGCAGAAGGTCAAGGGTTTTCATCTGACTTTTCAAAGGAGTACTGTGATATAAAAATCTTTAAGTGCCACTAAAGGAAAACACATGAAATTTTGCATCAGATAAACCCTAATTTCAAACATCAGTTCTTCTATTTACTAGTAATGATGGTTATCTTCTCTAAGTGTCAAATTTAGCCCCAGAATCCTTTTAAACAGTAAATATGGTAATGCATATAGCATGTAATGTTGTTTTTAAGAACGCCTTACAATAACTCCATGTAGCAGAGATTACTAGTTGTGCTCCTGTATCTGTTGAGAGACTGAATTTACAGACAATGCCCAGATCATATAAAAACAGAACTTTGATCCACAACCTTCAGCAACCTGACCAGAAAACCAAACTTTTATCCATAACAAACGACCCAGGATGCCAGCCCACCATGTCTGGTGTGCAGGAAGCCAGACTGCCATCTCTAGCAACAATCTAAGAAGCTAAGCAATAACTCTGTATCAATCAGCCCCAAATGCCCAGAACTTGATGAATACCCGACAGCTTCCCTAATTGGTCCAACTTAGGACCAATCAGAAAAAGCCAGGTGAGATGCCCCACTTCTAAGCAGCTCATGTAAAGCTTCTTCGTGCCAACAGCCTCTAATCAGGTCATACCTAAAGGCTTATTTTTCCCATTATAAAGATTTCCTATTCCTCTGCCTGCCTGTGAATCTCTGTCAAAATGTTAATGACAATGCTTGACTCCCTTGCTATAGGAAGCTCAGAGTAAAGAGCCTTGCTTTTCTCATTTAGTTGGTCTTCACTGATTTCCACCCTGTTCAACATGTCTTCCTGAGTAACAGAAGTTCAGATGGCACATGACCAGCCAAATGATGACTATATATTCCAGCCTCCCTTGCAGCTACACATGTTCATAAGACTAAATTCTGGCCGAAGTGATGAAGCTAAGAATGTTGTGTGGCAGTATCCAGGAACGTGCCTCAAGATACAGCCACCAAGTGCCCTCTGTCCCTTCCTGCCTCAGAGAGGTGACTTGATCAGCTGCAAATAGGCTTGGTTTCTGAGAATTTGATAGATCAGAGCTGGCATATCAGCTCCAGAATTTTATGTAACAGAGAAATATAATTAGTAACAATAATAATATATCAGTAGCTTCCATTTGCATAGCCTTATTATGTGTGAGACAGGTCTTAGGTCTTAATAAATGTCAAATAATTAATCATTTACAACAATCCTATGAAGTAGGTTCTATTATTATTTTGTTTTTGAGAAACTGTCATACACAGAAGTAACCTAAGGACAAGCAGTTTTTAGAACACTCTAATTTGGGGGTTTCTATAACTTGTAGCTGAACTTAAACCCAATTAATATGCTGTTGGAAAAGAAAGTTAAATAAACTTTAAAGTGGTTGAATTAGGGTTTGATGTGCAAGGTCTGAATGCAAAGCCCACTTTATTCTTTGATGAATCCCTCCCAGGAACAGGTCAGGATTCTCTAGAATCTCTTTCTGTCCCCCTCTGCCTGATGTCCAGAGATACAGGATCAAGGGTGGTCTGCTCAGAAAAATCAAGTTGCAAAATTTGACCTTCAGCTTATAGAAGACAAATCTGTTGGTCTATTTCCAAGTTGGTTTCAGTGTCCACACATCTCAGCTGAACAGAGTGAGCTTTACCAAGTAAACCAGTTTCATAATCATAATTATCACTACTGTCTATCATTCATTACATATCTACCATATTTTAAAGCATTTCACCGAGGTCTTTAAAATATCTAATATACCTATATGTTTAGAGAGCAATTCTATCAGAAAAAAATAAATACTTAGTTTAAAAAAAGCAAAACAAAACCTTACCTTTATCATTCTGGACAGATCACCAGCATCAGCTAATTCCAAAACTATGTTAAGTTCATTATCTTCAATGAATGATGCATAATATTTAATTACATTTGGATGGTTGAGTTGCTGATGGAAAAAAACACACACACACACACAAAAACAGACACCAGAAAGTTTTCTTATTGTAAATTCCCAGGAATCACTTACAGTTTCTTAACTTAAAAATAAACTTAGTTACTGCGTTTCATTTTTAAGTTACAGAAATCTTAACATGACAGTGTATTTTTCTTTAGTGAATTTTAAAACAAGTATTGAAATACCAGATACAAATTAATTTTATTTTAATACTCTCTATTAGAAATAGAGTAAATTACAGTTAAATTTTTTTAAAGTATGTATTGCTATGTCCAATAAATATATTAACATAAATGAATGGCAGAATTACAGCACCAATTGCTAAAAATTATATTCTTCAAAATGGGAACTGTCATTAAGGGCACTCAATGGTAAATAAAGTATTCCTTTTACTCCTATTTTGAAGGTGGCCTGATCCTCATATAACTGCAGCCAGTGGTTTAAAACAAAACAAAATGAAAGGACATATTCTACCTAAACATATATTCTACCTAAACACAGCTTTTACATCAAATATTATAAAACATACTGAGTTTACCTATGGGGTTGATGCGTTAAGTGATCCTAAGAAAAATTTCACCTTATAGAAATATATGCATCAGTCTCTACACACTGACAATCCTTTTGTACAATTTGCTTTCTGTTCAATCTTTAAACAAGTTAACATAAGAAAATTATTCAAGAATTCTCCCAGAGGGTATATACATGATTTTCTTCTTTTCTTTCTACTTAAAGATTTTTCTTCTACATATTCTATGATAATATATTATTTCTCTAATAGCTATTTATATATATTTTTAAAGCAGTTACTTCATGGCCCAGGAAATAACTACAACTAACAGAACAGATGGAAAACATGGTTCACTTTGATCTTACTCTTATCTTTTTTTGATAAATTGGATTCATTTTAGGCACAAACAAAAATGTACGGCATATAAAACATCTAAGTCTTATCTAACAGTTAAAAATATAACATAAGCTACAACACTCCTCAAAGGAAATTTTACTAGAATAAAAGCAGTGCAGAGATAACTGAAATTTCAGTCATATTCTTTGAGTGGATGAAAAACTGAAAAGCTAATTCTGACATACTCTTTACATCAGCCTTTCTAAATCTGGAAAAAAGATACAGAAATAATATAAAAAGCATGTGCCCATTTGGATCAGTCCACATTCTCAATATATTACATCTTGAGATAATACTAATATTCATTTATGTTACTTAAGCTTTAGAATATGTCTAATTGGGACAGTCAAGAAAAAAATTTCTTCAATGTTCTTTGCCAATTTTATCTATTTCCTAGTTTGAAAGGCAGGGGAGGGGAGCTAATCCTACCAAATGACCTGATTAAATTATTTTACAATGAATTCAAAAAATAACTACATTCTTCCATATACTGAGATACATATTTGTATAATGTTGCTTAAAACCAGTCTGACAGGGGCGCCTGGGTGGCTCAGTCGTTAAGCGTCTGCCTTCGGCTCAGGTCATGATCCCAGGGTCCTGGGATCGAGCCCCGCATCGGGCTCCCTGCTCGGCGGGAGGCCTGCTTCTCCCTCTCCCACTCCCCCTGCTTGTGTTCCCTCTCTCGCTGTGTCTCTGTCTGTCAAAAAATAAATAAAAATCTTTAAAAGAAAAAAAAAGTGTGACATAAGTTTTAAAAATCTTTTTGCTTGTAAGTGTAATATTTTCATAAATCACTTTTATCAACATGCTCATCTATATTCAAAATAGTCAATAGTTCATTTATTTACCTTAAGGAGATCTATTTCTTTGATACAATCAGCACGTGCTTTGGCATCCATTAAATCAAATATCTAAAAAGAGAATCCAGAATTATTTAATAAAATAATAATCTATGGTTCAAGACACCATGTAAATGCATTATAATAGTTTACAAATAGTTATACACATACTAAGAAATTTTCTTCTCAATTAGCTTTTTAGGAGCTATGAAGAACTATAGGTATTTTATCTCATGTTACCTCTAGAGTTTACATTTTTCCTTCCAAAGGCAGTCAGTATTAAAAATGAGAAAAGAGGGACTCCTGGGTGGCTCAGTAAGTTAAATGTCTGCCTTCAGCTCAGGTCATGATCTAGGGGTCCTGGGATTGAGCTCTAGGTTGGGCTCCCTGCTCAGTGAGAAGCCTGCTTCTCCCTCTCCCTCTGCCCCTACCCCTACTCCAGCTTTTTCTCTCTCAAATAAATAAATAAAATCTTTTTAAAAAATGAGAAAAAAAGAACTGCTAGATATTTCAAGTCTTAGGTTCAAATGAAACAGAATGGATACTGTGGTCATAATATAATAAAATGAGAGTTAATACATATTTAACAATTAATATGTGCTAAACATATTGCATTAACTACCTCATTTAATTGTCATTTAATCCTTAGGAAGACAACAACATTAGTATTCCCATTTTACAGATGAGACAAAGCAGGTTTAGAAAGCTTAAGAAACTGACAAAAGGTCACATAGCAATTAATGGAGCAGCCAGAATTCACTCTCAGAGTTATCCAACTATATCCCAAGCTCTGAGCCATTATCTATACAATCAAATCATGTCTAAAAGGTCTAATGTACACCTTGACAGGGATGATAACACTTCAAGGAGATAAAAACTGGTTCTTTGGAAAGAGGAGAGAGAGAGTCTCACCCTTATTAAGGATAAAGCACAGATATACATACAACATATAAACAGATATAGTCTTATCTGTGGAATTAAAATTTCATAAGGGAGCGGGGTAATTAGGAAAAAATATCTAAGAAGGTTCCTTAGGGTGATAATGAAGAAAAGGTTGAGAAATATTGGTCTAATGTGAAAAATATTTAAAAAAAAAAGATAATTTAATCAAAAGGATATTTAGGATGTCTCTGAAAACAATTCAATGTATAGAAAATAAACAATAAATAAAAAATCAATATGCTAAATATTATAGAAAATATCTAGATAAGTCACTACTATGAACTGATTAAAACCCTAGTCACACAACAACTTTAATGACATTTATAGTCATCAATTCACCAAGTCTTTCTGATTCAGACAGCCAATATGTTCCAGGAAAAGTAGCTGTGTAACTTGAAAGGAGGGCATGATCCAAGTCTTTTTGACTCGAGAAGAAATTACTGAACACCCACCAGAGGGTGTAGCCTCTTTACATACAGATGTTGCTATAATCTTCCCCATATTCTTATAAAGTAGGTAGTACTGGCTCCAATTTAGAATGAGGACTCAGGCTCAGAGAAGCTAAACATATGCTTATGGTCATAAAATTAGTAAGTGACAGAACAAAGACTTGGATCCAGATCATTCTAGCTCCAGAGTCTGCATTTTCTTCAATGTCCCAGGCTGTTGTGAAGTCTAACACATATACAACTAGCTAATAAGTACTAAGATACATGTATGCACAAAGTGCAGTATGAGAAATCTAAAGAAGGAATCCCCATGTGAGGAGTGGGTAAAGCTGAACTTTGAAGAAATTGTAAAATCTTCTAGCCAGAAACAACAGATACCTAAGGCATAAAAGGAAATACAGAACATGGGGATATAATTACAATCTGTAATATGCAACTTTTGCTCGATAACATTCTTAATATCCAAACATAGATGTAGTTCTAATCCTCCCCTTATTAAAAAAAATAAGAAAAGTATAAATAAAATTTTTAAACAAAAAAAATCCACTAACTCACTTCCTTAAAGAACTCTAGCTTAAAAAAAAAAAAAAGAATTTTAGCGTTTGCTCACTCCCTTCCATTTCTTGTACAAATGTATGTGTGTCAGAAAGTGAAAATAGCAGCAGGGTGCAATATGGTATATGCGTTTTCACCTAACACTACAGCAAAATACTCCTCCTATTTCTATGCAGTCTTCAACTTTATTTTATTTATTTATTTAATTTTCTAATGAAAATTTTGAGTATCATTTGTTTTTCAAGTTTTAATGTGAAACAGCTGAGAACTGCATAACGTTAAGATTTGAAAAAAATACAGAATCCTATCCTATTTAACGGGCTTAAAAAAAAAGATTTATTTATTTATTTATTTATTTATTTGAGAGAGCGAGAGTACATGGGTATGTGTGAAAGGGGGGAGGGGCAGAAGGAGAGAGAGAATCTCAAGCAGACTCCCAGCTGAACATGGAACCTGATGCAGGGCTCGATCCCAAGACCCCGAGATCACGACCTAAGCCGAAACCAAGAGTTGGACCCACACTCAACTAAGCCACCCAGGCGCCCCTCCCTTTACTGGTTTACAAAGAACGTGAGATAAACAAGGTGGCATCAAATTTCCTCCCACTTCATTCAAATACTAGAAAAGGAAATGTGTGTGCTAGTACATGTATTAGAGAGCGTGGCTTCACTTTTCCCCATTAGTAGTACTTCCAACCAATTTGACCATAATCAACTTGCATTGACTACTATGATTTCAGAACAGAATGAGGAAGGAAGGAAAGAAGGAAAGAAAGGAAGAAAGAAAGAAAGGGCTATGAGTGACAAATCACCATCACAAATGTTACATAAAGTATCTACTAAGAAATTTTTTGCAAACAGCAAGCCCTCATATATATCAAACTTTGGTAATATATTAGCTACAAATGGATACTAATTGTAGGGGTAAAAAAAAGAACAGCAATGACCAGCACTAAAGCACAAACAGTGTAACACTATCTACTGAAGGAAAAACCTCATGTAAACACAAACCTCTTCAAGAGCATCACAGTTTTATTCTATACGGAGATGATTAACATAAATAACATAACTTGTCCATGTTCTTGCTTTCTTTTATTCATAAAACCACGCTGTCAACTTGTTATTAGATTTTATTATAGATACAAATAAGAAAACAAGCTTGCATGCTGTCAGATGCAGAATGAAGACTGGAACACAGGACACGAACACACAATCTAATAAGTACTGCTTGTACAAAGTGATGTTAGAACCTCAACAAGGTGGAGTATGGCTGGCAGGGATTATATATGCAGACTTTATATATGCAGGAAAGTATAATACACTTCAGAAAGATTTCTTACAGAAATAAGTAAAATCAAAAGATCATTACTTTAAAGGAGTAAGTCTTACACCTAGCAATTTCATATAGAAAAGCCGCTCATTCCCCAAATTGCCAAATGATGCTGGAAAAACTGACATTACTAATGTAATATGTTAAATAATAACAAATATTAATGTAAACAAAATTTTGAGCTTGATATTAGTTACAGTTTTGAAATACACACACACACACACAATTTATGCTTAAAAATCAAAGTGGCAAGAGAAATAACAGATTCCCTCCAACTCATGAATGTTGATGCTATTCTCAGGACCTACTAGTCACAATGGACTTGAGATAATTCAAAGAAATGCAGGGAAGTACAAAATTTTAAATGTCTTTCACCTTGAAGGAATTCCTGAAAACTTTTTAAGGAGAAAAAGAAAGGATAATTCTGGTACTAGTGACTAAAATGAAGAAAATCACAAACTTGGAGACATGTATAAATTTAATCTCCCAATAATCAATGTCTCTATGATGGGAAAAGTATTTAAAAAGCAAAAGCTAGTGAATGAGATGAGAAAAAGATGTGTACAAGAGCTTTAGGAAACCCTAACTAGACACAAAATACTAAGATAGAAGTGTGCTCCATAGAAATCATAAATTTCCGGGGTGCCCGGGTGGCTCAGTTGGTTAAGTGTCTGCCTTCAGCTCAGGTCATGATCCCAGGGTCCTGGGACCAAGCCCTGCATTAGGTTCCTTGCTCAGCAGGGAGTCAGCTTCTGCTTCTCCCTCTGCTCCCCGAGCTCATACTCTCACTCTTTTGCTCGTGCTTTCTCTCTCGAATAAATAAATAAAATCTTTTTTAAAAAATCTAACTCAACTTAAGTAATTTAGTATTACAAATTAACTTTTATTTTTAACTGAATTCTCAGTAATAGCAAAATCTCTCCTTTGTTACTGAGAGATAAGTACTGCTGGCACATTTGAGGCAAAACTAAATTCTGAACCAAATACATTTATAAATACATTTAATTTGGAATTAGCAGTACCTTATCTTTTGTTCTTAGCGAGCAAGTTAAGACAAAATAAAAACTGGATCTTTAGATTAAATCATTCCCAGACACAGATTCAAGACTGATTTCATGAGCAAGAAAAGACAACACATAAGGAAAAAAAAATTTGGATTTTGTAAAAATATTTTTCTTAGAATATTTACAAGCTTATCTTCAGAAGGCATCTTTCTGGGCTCTACCAAAGTTTCTTTGGGTCTTTAACCTTACTGTATACTTGGTAAGAGCAAAGTTAATAACAGCATTTAGGCAAGTGTTGGCTAATAAGTTCTTGGTACTTTCTGAATCATTTTAAAAGTTTTCTTTTGTCATCTCTAAATTCTTCCAAAAAAATTACTCATGACTAATGAAACTGAAAGGATATCTTTAAGAGGAAAAAGAGGCCTTTAAGGAAATGTCCTTGAAAAGGCATAGGTCAGTCTGTTAGAAGAAAAAAACACTTAAAATGTAGAAATGATAGTACTTAAAAATGTATACTAGAAAGTTTGAAATGAAAATCTTAACCAAATTATCTCCTGGGCCTCCCCAGCTTTATAGAGCCAGAATAAATGAACTGAGCAACTTGTCCCTAAATTGAGTCCCTGTATTCCATGTGACAAACCTCAGTCCCCCCTGGATTATGCCATTCTTCATCCCAGTGTTCTTGCCCCTCTTGACCCGGTGCCCAAATGATGCTTTCATCCCTTTATTCCAACTGACCAGTGCCTGGAGAGACGGTCCCCTAACCATTGTTGGAGTGAGGGGGAGGAGCTTT